TCGTTATCCCATTGAAAGTCTGGAAGGCTTATAAACCAAAATGGCAGGCTTTCACCAACCTTGCTCAGCAGCATGGTTTCCATCAACATATTTGTTTGGTAAACAACACCCTCTGCTTCCTCCTTACCTCAGGAGACAAGGGCTTAATCTATTAAACAATGAAGGTCTATCTCTCTATCATCTCAGCATTTCAAGACAAATGGAAAAACAAGGCCTTCCCTCTTTGCTGATAGCACAGCTAAACATTTTAAAGCACCTCAAGAACCTAGTTCCAATGGTTTGACTTCCCACATTTGCCTCTTGTAGCTTCTAAACCTTTCTTTGAACTATTGACAACATGCACCTTACATCGCCTTGCCTGGAAACCAGCTTTTCTGGTACAGTAGTTGTTACTTCCACCCACAGGGCTTTTGAACTCTACACCTTGCAGTTGGATGCACCCTAAATGATATTTCATGCTTACAAAATTGTGCTACATCCAGCTATTTCTTTTCTCCTGAATTTCATGTTTTTTTATTTCCACCTCAACCAAGATGTGGCCTTACTGGCTTTTTTTCTGCAACCCTACCTCTTCTTTAGAATGGACATTTCATATGCTGGATGTCCATCAGATAGTAGCCTTTTACCTTTCACCTGATCAGCCCATTCGAAAATCTCCTTGTCTCTTCCTCTCTGTAGTGGAAGAAGGGACTCCCCATCTCTTTTTAGAGACTCATCCACTGGCTGTTTGAGTGTATTCACCCCACATACAAACAAGCCAGATTGCCTGCCTTTCAGAGTGTTTCAATTCACTCCACCAGATCTCTGGCCATGTCCTGCGCACCTTGAGACTTGTCCCCACTACCTACCATCTGTAAAGCTGCAACCTGGTCCCAGGTTTCCAAGTTCATCAAGCACTACAGATTCGATTTTTGTGCCAGGGACAAGACCAGATATGCTGTCTGTCGTGATACAATGACACTTCCTCCTCCAGTAAGTAACCCCCAATCTCCCATCAGTGTGATCCAGAAACCATGAAGGAGAACCGCAGTTACAGGGAGATTACCTGTCCTCCCAACACAGTACAGAGAGGAAATCTCACTACAGAGAGGGATTTGTTATACCTCTTTGTTGTTTTAACTAATTTTCATTCCAGCCTGTCAAAACATTTTGGTAACGACAGATCCCTGGCCTGCTGTGACTCCGGTCTCCTTAATTGTTGACTTTTCCCTGAGCAGCACAGAAAAACAGGAATGATATGTTTCTTGGCCTGATAAGGAAAATCTTATTTTTAATCTCCTATCAGTCAGAAACTTTTTTGGGTCTTCTGATGAGTCTTGAGTGTGACAGTAAAATGACACATATGCAATTTTCTTCTTTCACTCCAACCACAGTGCATCTGAATGGTGTGCGCTAATAGGACATACTCATCAAGGTTCTGGGAGCCAAGGACAAAGTGACAACTTCTCAAAATGAGTGATTATCATATCCATGAGTTACCCTTGATAAGCATTTTACTACTATCCACCTCTACAATTGCGTTATCGAAGAGTACCTTTGCTGGGATCAGCTAAAATGTCTGAACAGTGAGCAAGCTTTCAAGTTGTCCACAGCTCTTAATCAGGCTGGATGTTAAGCAAAACCAATGAGGGGTGTGTGTGTTAATATCACAAAGATTGAAATAGGTCAGAAAGGCTATTTTAATTTGAAGGCAGAGCCCTATTTGCCTCTGCAAGAGGAGATAAATGTACAGGCAGAAAGGCTATTTTAATTTGAAGGCAGAGGGGATAAATGTACAGCGGATAAATCCTGTGGAATGTCTATGTGTATGGGGAGAGAAATACTGCTCCACTTTCAACCTTTCTGCCTTGAGCAGAAACATACCAAAGGGAGTTATAAATATACTTTCAAACATGACTTTTAAAAATGCTATCACTTCATGTAAATCCACACACACACCCTCTGCCAGGCATAACCCCTTTTCCTCACACTGCTTCCATCTTTTTTCCTTACCCCCCCAAAAAAAAACTTGTTAAGGAGAAATAAAGGCAAGATTACTGCATATTGGCTTCTAAATGGTAGCATGAGGAGGGCTGTGTCTGGAAACATTCTCGTTGTGTTTGAGTAAATGCATGTAGGATGTTCTCCATAATGAGGGGAGATGCTGATAAGGCAAAGTTCGCAGTCACTGAAGCTTCAAATCTCTTCAAGACTGGGCTGCTGGAAGGCAAGGGGTGGAGTGCAGAAGGCAGCAAATGCAAAGATGCCGGAGGCAAGAAGGTGTACACCCCACTTACACCGGAAGTGAGTGACTTGCGGCTGCTACTGTCATATTCTTCAGTATTGACTTCTGGTGGTCAGGAGTGATAGCAGTTGAAGTCTGACAATGGCCAAAATTGGACGTGTATAGCCTTGAGAACAGAAGACAGAGAGGTGATATGATAACACTTTTCAATACTTGTAAGGCTGTCATTCAGAGGAGGGGAAGGATCTGTTCTCAATCATCCCAGAGTGCACAGCACACAACAATGAACTCAAGTTACAGGAAACCAGATTTTGATTGAATATCAGGAAAAACGTCTTAACTGTTAGAGCAGTAAGACAATGGAACCAATTATCTCGAGACGAATATCAGGAAAAAACATCTTAACTGTTAGAGCAGTAACACAGTGGACCCAACTACGTACCTCGAAACATAGTGAGTGCTCCAACACTGGAGGCATTCAAGAGAAACTTAAAGACAACCATTTGTCAGATATCGTTTGATTTGTGTCCCTGCACCGAGCAGAGGTTTGGACTTGATGGCCTTATAGGTTCCTTCCAACTTCACTATTCTATGATTCTATGAATATTTGGATGGACAAATGTCGCCAACCACTGCTCCATAGGCTTTATTCCTTCACCTGTTCTTTGTGGCTTTGATACCACGCTAGCTTTTACCACTCGCCTTCTGTTTTCTCTTAAGATTGGAGTTTAGAATAAACCAAACGTATGCACTATTTTGTAACCTTTCCTTCGGTCCTGGCATTGCCTTGTTATGGATGACGTGTAGGAGGTGCTGTGAAAATAACATTTTGCCTCATCCACAGTAGAAACGTTTTCTGTTTGAGAGATTTACGCACTATTTTGTAACCTTTCCTTCGGTCCTAAGAGCGGCATTGCCTTGTTATGGATGACGTGCAGGAGGTGCTGTGAAAATAACGTTTTGCCTCATCCACAGTAGAAACGTCTTCTGTTTGAGAGAGTTGACTTTTCATAGTTGTTAGTCACAAAGTGGACTTTGTCTCATATAAAAAAATAACAGACCATAGGACATGTGAAAAGGTACCCTTTGGTGGGCCAGGGGAAAAAAAAATCAGTCAATGTTTCTGTGAGGCTGATCAGTTTCTGTTTCGGTGAGGCCGATGAAATCAACACATGGAAGAACAATGTAATTTCACTACGGCTAGGCCAAATTGCTTGGTAAGAGGAGAAGGACATGGAGTGCACAGGGGGAAAAAAGGGAGAATGAGACATTTAATGACACGCAGCAGGGTCCAAGGTAGTGCTTTGTGGAATGGCTACGGTTATGATCATTATGTGGTTGTTGCCATATTTACCAAACAAAGGGTTTAGTAAAATTTTCAGACTTCAGTGTAAAGGACTCCTCGGCTTCCTTCCAGTGGAGCTTTATAATTATCAGACTCTAGTCCCACTGAAGATATATGGAAATTTTAGCCTACATACGCCAGGATATACTAGGGGGAAAAAAATCAAAGTAGGCCGTATCTGGCCAGATGTAGGAGACAGAAAGAAAAGGCAAGAGTTAATAAGTCCTCATTTTCAAGAGGAAAAATAACTGTTTTTTAATACTGTACAGCATACCTCTCTTATTCATTTTTATCTGACGGCTTTGTTTATTTTTTTCAGCCTATTTCCCCTGGTAGTACCAATTGATTTTGTTTTCTGAAATTAAAAAAAAAATCTATTGTTCATCAGCCCACCAGCAGCTAAGGGGCAACCTAGTTGACTAATGAGTTAGGAATAATTTTGAGTGAATGCCTAACACGTGGTTGCAGGCAGATAAAGCAAAGTATTTATGTACCAACATTCCTGCTAACACTGCAGGATGATCAAGCAGGAGGATGGGTCAGGGGCTCGCAGAGCAAAAGGCTGATTGACACAACCAATATGGCAATGAAAAGGGATGGGGCTAAAAGAGACCAAGGGGTACCCAAATTTTGGAGGAGTAATGCTCTGTGCACTCCTTGTTAATGTGGTAGAATGAGGTCTCCATTTTCCTTCTTACATTAGTTAAAATCACCATCTTTCTCCTGTACACATATTGAAAGAGGAAGAGAAAGCACATTTCCTTTCCAGAAGGTTGAATGAAAGATGTGGAAAGGTGACAATTTGTGTTAATGAAGCCTGGAATTTACATTGTGGTTTTACAGAATAATTGTACGGAAATTGTGTTTGGATAAATGGGTCAATGTGGAAAATGCTTTCCCTTCCTTGGGATAGGAAAAAGTGCATGATAATTGAGGGTTTCTGCTTTTAGCCGTCATGTGTTGTAAAGGGTTATACTGTACCTATTACAAGTCATTTTTAAAAGTCTCCATATTAATACAACACAGGCATGCATAAAATGACTGTTTTGGTACATGTGAAATGTACCAAAAACATTTCCATACAAAATGTTGATGACTTGACATATGTTTTTTTCTTAAATGAAATTGAAAAAATGGATGGGGAAAAGATGGAAACTTTAACCAGGTTTGACATCCTTTACTTAAGGAGGTTCCGGGATTAGATTAAAACATGCTACATTTCTGTTTGTTGCTTGTCCTGTTCAAGCCCCGGAACCCCCCCCCCCCGGGTAAGGTAATTTAATGTGAGAGACTATCACTGGCTGAATATCAAGCCAGATGTATTCACTCCAGAACTGAAGATCTAGCCCTCTCTAACCTTCTAAACCAATCTGGATGTGCTGAGAAGCCCTACAATGTGCTGTTTGTTTTGCCTTGATTCACTTGCACCAGATATTGTAGATATAAAACCAGCAAACATGGAGGAGCTGACAGAAGTGATAACAGCGGCAGAGTTCCATCCGCACCATTGCAACACCTTTGTCTACAGCAGCAGCAAGGGCACAATAAGACTGTGTGATATGCGAGCCTCTGCCCTGTGTGACAGGCACTCCAAATGTGAGTATTCCTCAGTTGTGCTGTGTGTTGAAAAACACGAATGGCAAAATTTTGTTTTGTCTTATTTTGTATGTTAGGATCTCTACCATAGAAAGGAAAAGAAAAAGGGACTTTCACAATTAATCATCCTTTACAACCAGTTAACTTGTTTTCTCCTGGTACACTTGAAGGAAGTCAACAAACAAGCCAGACTGACTGCCTTTCAGAGTGTTTCGAATCACTCCACCAGATCTCTGGCCATGTCCAGATGTGGTCACACCATTGCTTTCAACTGTGATGAGATTTTTATTTTTTTTTGCAATAGCTATAAAGACTCTGCTTCATTTCCATTTCTTCCCAACAAAACCTGGGTAAAATTACTCTAGAATATTGGTTTTTAACTAAGCTGCATTTTCACTTATGAAATTTAGATCAATGTCCAATTTTCATCTCTCAGCAACTTCAGAATGTTTGCAGTTCAGGATTTAGCAGATGTGATTTAAAAAAACAAACAGGCTTGGATATTAAATTATAGGTCATGCAACAGTTTCTGTAATATAAGTACCTATTTGTTTATTTTATTTATTTATTTGGCTTTTATACCGCCCATCTAGATGAATCTGCTCTGAGCGGTTTACAGTCCAAAAAAGCAATTAACAACAACAATTTTTAAAAAACCTAAAACGAGCAGACATAATCTAAGATGGAAAAACCAGGGGAAGAAATTAAGTAATTTCAGGAGGGATGGCCTGCCTGAAGATCCAGGTCTTCATTTTATTCTTTAAAACTCCCAGCGAGAGAGCCAGGCGGATCTCAGGGGAAAGATGTTCTAAAGGTGAGGGCCCATTGCTGAGAAGGCCTGATTTCCAGTTTTTTTCCTTCCAGACCTCTCTTGGAGTTAAACCCCTCAGTCTCCCAGCCTGGCTAGAACGAGTGACATGGGTAGAACTAGGTGGAAGAAGGCGCTCTGACAAGTATGGAGGTCCTAAACTGTTTAGGGCTTTATATGTAATCATTAGCACCTTGAAATCAATGTGGAATCTAATGGGTAACCAGTTTAAGGCGGCCAGTGTGGGGGAAATACGATGATATGATGATTCCTAAAGGTTCAGTTACATTATCAGGTTGGTATACAGTATTCCACATAGAGGCTCACTGCCTCCATGGAGAGTTAAGCATGTGCTGATGCGGCTATTCAGAGCATGTTACCATAGTCTCTCGAGACTGAAGGATGCCTACAAGATGTGGCTTTGTTGTGTGACTCATTTAGTCAGCCAACCACTTCCTGCTTATTTACCCTACAGTCACAAAAGTTGTCAAAAGGCTGTTGAAATTGTTCAGTCATAAGCTTCTTGTTTTCTCCACATACTGAGCTCTGCGTATCGGCCCATATGTTTTGACACCTATTAGATGAGAGGGAATCGCAATCACAGTTAACACTGGGCATGTGAAGAGTTTGGTATGGGGTATCTGGGAGTCCAGTAATTTCAGATAAATGCTTGACAACATTTCACACTGAGCAGTACTTGTCTATGTGTTATTCTTTGTGTTGTACTATTTGTTTCACTTTTTTAGTCTACGTAGGTGAGTTCATTCGGATTAAACCCTTATGCAAGGAATTGTCACAAGGTTTTTAGTTACTCTAGTTTAACTTGACTTACAATTAATAGACAAAAAAAATCTTCTTAAATCAGCATCAAGAAGCCATGAGAAAAATCACATGTGAACCACCACACTGACAACTAAAGTGGTTATTTTGTACACACATGCTGTGTATTTTTAATTTAATCAAAACTTCATGTCTTAGTTTGTTAATTCTATTTCTGAGTTTTAATGCTATCACCAAGCTCATTATCATCCTCTTAGTTTGTAAACTCTCTGGCAGTTGTTCAACATTCAGTGGTTTACATGTACACACAACATTTTGGTTATGCCAAGTGCTCATTTCACACTGAATGACAGATTGTGGCTTGTTGTCACCAGCAGGAGCAGGGTCCCTTCTCCCCACTGAATTTAAGGGGAACCTATATTAGAACTTTTTACTTTTAGTTTACAGAAAACTATGGTTTGCCATTCACCCAGCACTCTGTGGTTTCTACATAAGTTACTTGGAAGCCAGGATCAAACATTTCTGCACGAAGGAAGGGGGGGGGGAGAATTCATGCAAGCTTGGCATTTGCCATTTCTTGTTCCTGCAACAGTTCGTTACATTTGAACTGAGCTCAAGAATTGTTTTCTTCCTCTGTCACTGGTTTTCTCCATTACATATTTTATTCCTGTTCCTTGAAGTGGGACCATGCCTCTATTTCACTGATGTTTGTAAGTAAATTATCTCATTATACAAACATGCTCCGTTTCACAATTGATTTTCATGTTAGCCAGTTCAGATGGGGCTATTCTCTTAAATACCAATTTAATCACATTCTGCTTATCTTCTTCTGTCTGTTAAAGTGTACGTAAAATGTGAAAATGTTTTTCTTGAAATATTTTTATTTCTAAAATCCAAATAACGATAGGAAACATCTGTTTACATTATCCATGATGCTATGGTAGTTTGAACTAGTGCTTTGAATCAATCCCTAACCTCTAATAAGCAGGTTACACAAATGACCTCTTCAGTCTTATCTCTTCCACTTAATTGGACATGTCATGGAAGTCAATCATTAGGTTGATCCAAGCATATGATTATATCCTGGTATCTATCACCAGAGTTCACTGGATATCCACTTCCCCTACTCCCCGATTCCCTCCACTCAGTGTTGATTATGTATCACACTAGAGTCCATCTTAGATTCATAATTTGAAGTGTTAAGAATCCAGCTAGATTAATTTCTTCACTTTTCACCATCCGAAACCTTAGAGCATGATTTGTTCCTTTGTTCTGCTGGTGCTGCAATGTCCTTTAGAGTGCCTACAAGCCAATTGTGAAAACAGGTTCAGTTTGACCTCTCCCTTGACATCTGATATTGATTTTTCCCTCTCCTTCAAAAGCATTGGCCCTCAGCCAATTGTGGTTCAGCAGACATACCACGCAGTGCATTAGGGCTCAAAATTTATTTTTTTAAGTAGCCCTGGACTTTAAAGATGATTTTTATAGAGGAAAATGTTTAAGACTAGTTTGCATTTAATCAAAATGCTGCTGACACTGTTGCATATCCACGTCGTGTATTTGTAAAAGATCACAGGGGTGTGAGACACTCAACTGCAATGGCAGCTGAACCTCTCTAAACCATCTCAGCATAAAACAGTTAGGAAAATAAATCCACTACTTCTAGACTTAAAAGTAACTCGTTATGTCTGCCTTCTCTATTCCATGCTGTGTTGGCAGTACCTCCTAAAAGGAAATCACTCTTTGCAGAACTGTTTGTTTCTTGGCATGTGGCCATTATACAGAGAGTGTTGATAAAAAGATGTATAGCCAGCTGTCTTGCACTCTAGTATTCAAGAGCTACCAAGGTCACATGTCTCAATTTGTTGCAGGAATGAGATTGCTAGGAAAATTCAGACTATTCTTGTGCCTTGGAAAGCCCAGATTGTATTGCCTTTCTCTTGCTGAAAATCTTAGTCTATGGAAACTTTAAAACTTCGTTTTTGCAGCAACTAAGCACTTCTACTAAGCCATAAAAAAGGTCCTGATGTTCACCTGACCTTCATTTTGTACAAATTGTGAGAAATTAGGTGCATGCTATTCTGTGATTACACGGGTTATCATCATGGCATCTCTTTCTCAGTGCTCACAGGGAGGCATTGAGTGACTCTCGCAACAACAGCTCTTTCTGGATGCTGTATACCTCACCATAAGACGAGTAACCACTACCTGCATGCCCTAGAGCTGCTTTCACCAACATGTTTTGGATTATAGCTGTCATCATGGTAGAAATCCTGTTCCTGGATGGCATCAAACCTTGCAAGACTCCTTGATACAGTCGCTGTATAAGCTGATCCTGAGAAGTGATAGAAAGCACCAGAATTTTTCTGGAATGGTGTATGTGCCACATTTTCCCACTCATACAACGAGTTCGAAGAATCACTATGTTTGTCTCATTTGTCTTTAATTTTGCTTATTTTGTTTTTATCCTTGATATTGCTGTTAGCAAAACACCTATACAGTTCCTCTGTTTCATAAATTTACAAGATTTTGTTTCCATCCTTTTGATGGCAATCGTTAAGATTCTCTTATATGGTGAGGGGTGCAGTGTTTCTGGATGGAAAATTGCTTCTTGCTACCCATCTAGAATGACAAATTGTTGTTTCTTTTGCACAGCAGGGAAATTGCCGGCTTTTATCCCACAATAAGGGAAATTTCAGCCATGCTTGCATGCAGGAACAGTGCCAACTCTGGCCTTCTGTTGATGAAATGTTCTCTTAAGGAGAGAGATCAACCAAGTTTTTTTAAAAGATTCCCATTCCTTTCATACACTTCCTGAGAAGGTCTTGATGGCAAGACTTTTGTGCCTTTATAATGAGACCATAAACACAAGAAGAGGAGAAAAGTCGGGGGGGGGGGAGGAATAGAATATATGCGTTCTCAAAGCAAATAAACTGAGTGTTGATAGGATAAGATAACCTTCCAGCACAGCTTTGACAAGCTCTGAGACAAAGAAAGCAGGATGCTGTTTATTCCTGCCACTGCTACAGGAAAGGCCAGGGACAGGCAATCATCCCTTATGGATATGCTTGTTTGCAGCTGTTATTTCTAGTGTGAACAAATGTCTCTAACAATGGGGCATCCATAGTTCTTCATTTCTTTCTTCAAAGAAAACCATATTCTTGGGGCTTGACTCCACCAACTGGCTCTGGCTCCATCTATGGTTGGCTCTAGTTCTTCCTACCATTTTGTACCATGGGCAACTTCTCTTTTACCTTGCATTATCCATTGTCACTTTGTGGAATGGATCTTCTTCAGTTCAGACTTGGGCTGGAGTAATGATTCTCCCCCATTCATAAAACAGGCCCTGTTTAGCAGCAGGACATCATATTCTGTGCAGTCATTAATGCCCAGCAGACTTTCCCTACAAGTC